CCCTACTGGAAACCGACTGCTGCGTGCCTCTGCATTGCACCTCGGGACTCTGCAACTGTGTTCCACAGCTTCAGCGGCATTTAAGAGGAAAGTGGACATGCAATGCGCAGGTTCACGCCAACTGCCACGGCGTCTACAGGAACGACCAGCTGGAGGGACGCCAGCTTAGAACTGGAAGCCCCGGCAGAGACGGAGGCAGAAGCAAGCACCTGTCTAAGAGCTCACAGTCCAGACCGGCTGCTCCTGCCCCTGCCGCTGTGTGAAGGGAAAGCGCTCCACAGCACGGCATCTTCTGCTTAAGGCAGAAAGCACCAAATAGGACGCCCGCCTTCCTCGATGTGGACACGGCGAGAGGCGGCCTTTGGGCTGGGCGGGGAAGCCACTGCCTGGGGGGGTCGGACCGGAAGCGGATGCCATGCCCTCTGTTCTAAGGCGCTTCTTTTTCCTTAAGTTTATTTCTCCCACGAGCGAGAGAGGCAGAGACAGCACCCTCAAAAGGGTACTGATGCCGGTATCCACCCCCAGCCTCAGCCAGCTCGAGACAGGGGGCGCATGCTCACCTGGTGTGTGCAGGGACTCCGGATGTGAACCCGTGACCAGCCGGTGCAGCTCGGCCTCGCAGGGCAGTGTCAACAGCTATGCCACCATCCAGCCCCCGCTGCCTTCTGTGAGGAGAGAAAAAAACCGACACACAAAGTCACTCTGAGACTTATTCCACCCTCACAGACTGGGCATGCAACTAAGGGGCCAGTTCCATCCCGAAGTGCTTTGGGGAAAAGTGTCGTTATCGCCTGCCAGGGACAGCTTTGAACTTGGCTGCTATTGTCACCAGAGGGAGAAAGGACGAGGGAGGGTCATCCTTCCTTGGGGCGCCATCTCACTGCAGCCTCTTTTCCTCCATGTCACCTTCCTGGTGGATTCTGAGCTCACCCACAGACATGCCAGGTGTTTTCCAAGCCAGCAGGCCCAGGACCTGAACCACGGGATCAGCCATGTGGGATTCAGCTGTCTTAACCACTGGGCCATGGAGCAGCTCCTCAGTCTTCTGAGCCACTGGGTCAGGACCCAAACCAGTCAGTCAGGTGGGATCTGTCTCTAACCACTGCTTCGGGGCAGCCCGATCTTACCCTCCATCGCGGACCCTGAGACATCTCAGCCTTTGTCCAAGTGCAGGCAGAGAAAGGTCAGGCACAGGTAAGGACCACCAAGCCCATGGTGGAGCCAGGGGGACAGGAGTGGAGAGAGGGACCCCAGACACTTTCTCATGAGTGACTAGGAGAATGAGAAGGAAAACACAGCGGCGTGGTAAGGCAAGATGCTGGTAGCTTTGAAACCAACAGAACCAGATTCAAATCCTGTCCTAGCGACTGCTGGGTGAGTCTGGCTCTGCCTCCGTCAACTCTTATTTAACAAACACCTGCCCAGCACCGTGGACTCCCAGGTACGCTACGAGTCTTCATTTACCTAACCTCAACAACAGGCCGCGGAGGTCACTTCTGTTACTATTTCCACTTCACAAACAGGGACGCTGAGGCTCCTGCCACCTGCGAGGGGCTGAGCTGAAATCCGAACCCTGGCGGTCTGGCTCTGAAGTCCGAGTTCTGCAGTCCAATATGGCTTCACTTATGAAGGAGAGAGCAGAGTACCAGCGCAGCGCCTGACATTGAGGGGGTCTGAGTAATCCATCTCCCTCTGCCCAGATCCTCTCCCTCCCCGCACTGTGGGAGGGGGGATGCACGATTTTGCACACACAGCGCGTCGGCTACGTCAGTCTGAGAAGGCTCGGGCGGGCTAGAGGACAGCCCTCTGTCTTTACCCGCCGAGGCCTGGAACACGGGTTCTAAGGCGAGGCAAGAAGTCTAGCGTTTCCAGACAGGGGTCACCTCCGTGAACCACGACCGGCGTTGAAGATGCAGGAGCTGCGGACGGGCCTGAGGAAGCCGGGAAGGCTGTGGCCTTGTGCAGTAGGACTCTGTGTGTCCGTGTCAAATGCACCACACACACACACACACACCCCACACACACCCATACTGAACACGCAGATCGTTCCGACCACAAGGGGAAATGATCTATTTCCAGAACCTTCCACTGCCTAGAACTGGGAAGATTTTCTGTATTGGCTGCAGCTTGCTTTAAGACAGTAAGGCGTTTCTGGGGAGCTGAAGGACAGAGACTCTTTTGAAAATTATTAAGAACAAATTAGGCCCAGGGGCCCAAGGGAGCGGTATTGTAGAACATGGGAAAATGTTGTTTTCCAGCCCTTTGTGTGTTCATGGGCTCATGGCAATAAAAGAGCAGAGACCAGTTTTGCATCTTGGTATTAGTCTAAGGATCATGGAGAAATGTGCAGATGGTTTCAGTGAAACGATTCCATTCAGTTGGGCAAGCAGTGACCTGAACATAACCAGAGATTTACCCCTGAAATATTCCGAGTGCCCAAGGGCTGTGTGCTCTAACTGCAAGATGGTCACCCGTGTCCCCAGGGAGGGTGCCGTCTCCACCCATCTCTCATTCCTTTTGGGCTTTGTGGGCAGGTGCACACACACCCCTAGCATGTTTTCTAAGCTGCCAGATCAAGACCCCAACCCCACGGCTGGCAGCTGGTAACGTGGGAACCAGCCACCTTAACCACCACGCCCCGAAGCTGGCCCTAAACAGAAGGGGCGTCCTCTGATCTGTCCGTCTGAAACAGCACCTACACAGGAGGATGCCTCTGTCATCACAGAAGCCGCATCTGAGCTTGTGGCTGAGCCCAGAACGTTGGAAAAGGGGACCCAGGTTGCAGAAAGGAGAGGCAGCCCTGAGCGTGGAACGGGCTTCTTGGTCACAGGCCTGTATAAACAGTTCTTCCTGCTCACCACACGCACTCACTCCAGGCAGGGGCAAACTCTGTGTGCCCTTGGCCATTTCATGAGCCACGAGGCTGGAGACCGGCAAGCCAGCGAGGGAGCCTTTCTGTTCTGTATGCATCTGTGAGTCAGCAGGAGCTGGAAGCCTCACAGAAAAGCTACTGCAGAACAACAGGCTGGAAGGGGGACAATAGCTCCCCCCTCCAGACAGTGAGAGCCTGCATGATCCTCAGGGATCAGGCCACCCATGCTCACTGCAGAGGAGTGGGGAGGCGCTCTGCACTGGCCATGGGGATGCACAGCTGCAGCTGCTCCTGGAAGCCCTGGGTGGCCTCCATCCCACTGAGCTGATGGCTTCAAGACAAATGGCAGTGCTGGTGGTGCCCCTGTGCAGGGGTGGGGAGGGGCCTGACAGAGTGAGGGTGGCAAGACATATCCCCTCTGCCACAAGTGCCTGACAATAACATCCAAGCAAAACCCATCACCTCCACCGGCTTAGGGAAATCACAAAAAGATCTCAGGGCTGCTTCCATTAAGCCCGCTTGAGTCAGAGCCTGCGCCACCCTGCTCCACAGCAATGACCTGAAACGGTTCCTGGGAGACTCCAGAAACTGGAGACATGCCCTGTGAGGCGGCCCTCGGGGCTCCAGGAGCAAGTGTAATGGACACCACTGGGGAGAGAGGCCTCCCAAACTCAGTGGTGAGAGCAAGCAGCCTCTCTGTGCACCTGCAGAACCGCAAAGCCC